TGTGTGTGTGTGTGTATGTCGTGCACTCTTCGCTTCGCTCGCCACATTCGTCATCAAAATTTTTCAAGAGCATCCATACGCGGCTGTGCAAAACACGAAATCGCCTCGCGCGATTTCCCGAGATCCAATTTTTCCGAGAAAACGCGCACCCATTAAAATCCCGTGTATACAAATGCAGATCGCTGAAGCTTACCTAACCGCACTACTTTCGCTGCGGCTCCCGCCGTATAAAACGGCGGACTTTACGATCGCGATCCTGAAAGAGTATCAACGCGCGACACACGCGCTCTTTGCGGAAATCATAATCCCGAGCATGACCCGGTTATCCCGCGGCCAGGCTTTTCCATTTTGCTACATCCATTAAAGTCCCGAGTTCTCTTCCTTTATCTTTTCCTCTTCCGCCTCCCTCTCGCGTTCTTTCTCTCTTTCTCTCTCTTTCCCTCCCCGGACAAACGCGTCCCTCGCGAATAATGTCTTACCAGCTTCACCTACATGCGAATCGGGGCCCGAAGGCTGCATCGCTTACCGAGGGGAGCAGATCGAGGTTGACGGGGTCGATTTTATTCCGCCCTACGGCCGGAACTCGATTTGCGGTTGAGTGCCCGTATGGGTGATGCTGAATTGGCGGATCAAAGTCACCTAGAGTCTCCGCCGACCATCGGGAAGTCCCACTTCTCTTTCACCAATTCTACCCTCCGCACAATCGAGCCTCGAACGTTTGTTCGTTCGTTCGTTCGTTCGTTTGACCGTACGCATATATTTGGAGACCACGCGGATTATGATATCGATGCATCTCGTGGTGCACGGCATAGCCCAGTTTATCAGCAATATTCGATCGAAGCACACAATAGACTAAATAATATTATAAATCAATATGCGCACCGAACAGTGTATAAATACATAAGAAAAGTGAGAAAATTAAAATGTTAGATATACAATCCCGCGTATTAATCAATGAAAACTTGAAATATTAATGATAGCAGTGATTTAAAAAAAAATTTTCCGAAATTGTTTTGTATTTATATTATAAAAAAATGTTTTGTATTTATATTATAAAAAAATTATTGTATTTATAAAAGAGAGAAACATTTTGCTCAAAATAAATTTATATTAAAAATAAATTTATATTAATTTATAAATGTTTTATTTATGATGACGTATGCGTAGACACATATCGCGTTACATAATTTTTCAATAATGTTATTATTAAAAATATATATTATGTTAAATATAAATATAAATCTATGTGACTTACATCCGATAAATTGCGATAGATTATTTATAAATTTATTTTCGATATAATTAATTAGTTTCCCTAACTGAATCAGTCCAGTGACTTATTTATAGTCGATTTCTAACCGACTGCTAAAGCCGATGTATTCAATGAAAACTTTACAACAAATTGGACATTACCGCGCTTGCAATCCGCTTTTATTCCTCTATTCCGTCCCCTATTTTATGTGTTTTGTAACCTCGCAGAGACCAAACTACAAAACAAAACTTAGATGCAATCATTCATGCGGCCGCTACCGTTTACCATATCAATCTATTATTGCATCAATCTAAAGTTAAATCTTAACTCGTACGTAAAGCGTTATTTCAATATCAATATTTAATCGATATTTGATCTGTATTTGAGTTTATCTAGTCAAATTTCTAAATAGAAAAACGTGTACAAATGGTTAATGAATTTTAGAAAGCTTTGTCGACGATGTTACGTGGAAGGAGAGTCCCGCTGTTACACGAGTTACACGATTACACATATGCGATTGAAGCATCGGATATATTTTTATGAAATATGGAAACGTATGTCCAGATCCAGATTAGATTACCAATCATTTAATATAGTAATGGCCGGCCCAGTTTCTGTTATTCCGCACGTTCGCGTTTTACGGTTTCTATCTCATGCATTACGCGTCGCACACATTACGCTAAGCCGTCGTGCTGTCGTATCTCGTCCAGCGTCCGTCATCCTCACATCAATCCAGGCTTAGTGCTCTATTATTGTGACACCGTGGATTATATCGGGATATAAAACAATTTTAATACAGAACTTAACGTGTGATCTTTTCGTTTTTTTTCAGCGAGCAGTTATTTGGCCTGGATCAACAAGCGACGTTATCGTCCTTGATACGTGCAGAATATTCGTAGAATTTTCGTAGAACCATTATCACGAGTTGACGAAAATAATGCGGAATAGCGCCGCTGACGTCTGCGCAAGATTTCGTAGAAACGGCATTTTACGTAACCATATGTAAATGGCTCCTTGTCGTTACAACGTTGCTGAACACCATTCGGAATTGATATACGTCCGCGATACGCTTCCACACCACAGTTTATTCGCATTGTTCCGCATGCTGTGTCTGGTTATGATATCCGGCCGCACACGGAGAGATTGCGGAGAATTCTATATATTAAAGCAAAACCCCAGTATCGCGTATCAACTTCACCCCGTTTATCCCCCCGTTTACCGACAACAACCGTCGTCGGTATGGAGTCCTAGAAACTCGCCACTCCTCAATGTGACTATGCATTTCGTTTCATCTAACATTGTTTCCATACAATGCCGAGGTGTTATCGAGGCATAACCGAGGAATGACTCGCACCGATCTTGGATCGACGACACAGCCCTCTTGAAATCCCCTCTACATTTCCAAATATTCTGACGTGAAATCGAGCGGAATTTGACATTCTACCAAATTATTTTTCAAGTTTCGTGCCAGTGGGAAAAAAATTTGTACAGATGTACGCCATGCATATCGAGATTTCTTCCAAACATTTTTCCCGTCTATCCCCCATATTTTATACCGATCGATATTCGTTTACCTGACGCTATAAAAGAGAGTACTCGTGAATTTCTCGCTAAATGACAGCAATCAGACGTTCCGTCGTATTCCATGCTTTTTGCAGCACTGGCATCCTTCCCTTCTTCGGAGCGGCGCAAAAATTCTCAAGCGAGGTAGACTTGTATCAGGCATCAATCCAGCTCTATCTCGTCCATCCCACCCCGTAACAACCTTCACCGCACTACCAGATTCTCTTGGGCTCAGCACTGACCAATGGCGTGCTCGTTTCGCGAAACGTCGTTTCTACCGATGCAACTGACGTTGAGTAGCGTGGGGTCGGGTTTAAAAAAGTGCAGTGCATCGGACGAGCACCGCAAGCCGAGCGTGGCTTAATTTCGATGCGTAAATCGAACGGTCAGCGTGGGAGGAGAAAGGAATGGGAATGGATGGCGGGGGAACGCGGGGAACGTTTGCCTCACGTCGAAACACGACATGCCACGTAGCGAAGTTGGGAATTCGTTCCGGGCTCGGAAACGACGTTGTAACGAGTGCCGCCTGCAGGGCTATCGGGGGCGGGTCTTAGTAAATCAGCTGGGGAATAGACCAACGGGGAGAAAAGTTTGGCGGATTTATCTGCGGATTCCCGACTAATCCCGAAGCATACGAATCTAGACCCTCGTAGACGTCTCGTCATGTACGAGAGATTTAGTAAACGCTAAACAAATCAATTTCAATTCGATACCTTTTATACGCGACTTATAAATAAGCCAACTCGTTTTAATGCACGATATATATATATATATTATTTTTTTTTTCTTCTTTTTCACGTATACGATACTTGGATTTAATTTCTGCAATTTCTGCATTTCTCGCACTTTTTTAGCAAACGAGAGCGTGATATATTTATAGTAACGTACAAAAGAGATGGCGATGTATATTTTTTATCGGATCGCCGCTTCGCCGCGGATGCGCATAGATTCAGCGAAAGGAAGTAGTAAGTTCTTAACGGAACTAAGCTGCGCGAGCAGCAGGAGTATCGGCGGTGCACTTTATCACAGATAAAATATGCAGCTTACAACTTTGCTGCCGCCAACGAATCGAAGCGCCCACAGGGAGATATGTAGCGCGATTGCTAGGAGAGATTGGTTCGCAGAATTCGCTAACAGTAACCCAATATTGAGTCTCAGCAAACAGCTAGCTTGCTGCTGAACTTGAATAACGTATTTAAACAAAAGGGATATCATCTGGTAAGTTATTGATTGTTGGCGAGTTATTGATTGTTGGATAATCAACGATATTTTGTAGCTGCAAGAAATTCTTTAAATTCTTTAATTCTTTAATTTTAATGCTTAATTAATCTTGTATTTATCTTGCTTTCAAAAAATATCTAAGAACGATCGAAGAAAAAATTATCGATCTCTCTCGTATATTTTATGTACGCTCTAAACGCTTTCCACAAATACACGCGTACACGTATACGGAATGCATAATTTTAATTCTATTTATTTGCAGGCTTGAAAGGATAGTTAATTTCATTGAAATTGTCGACTCATTGCGAGCTATTTGCGATAGTTAATTTTATCGAAATTGCCGGCTCTTTATATGAAGAATATAAATTTGCGCCGCGCCACGATCGGTGGTTTTTCGCAAACGTTAAATGAATGCCTCGCATAGTTTATGAAGCACGCGTGTTCGTGGGATAGCCAATCAGGGGGTATACACACCGTTGTCCGTTCGAAAAATATTGAAACTACGCTCGCGCTACGATCGCGAGCGCGAGAGAGGCGAAAGGGAATAACAGGCATTCTCGCGTGAGCCGCATAGAGAGCTAATTGGATTTATAACTAAATCGTCTAAATTTATTTTCGCCGCGCGAAAGCAGCATTTCTGGTTTCGCAAATAGATGGTTAAAATGTAACTACCGCGAGCCGGATGAATGCGTTCATGCATCAATCGCGACCTCGCCAGCGCGGCGCGGCGCGGCGCGGCGCGGCGCCGAGAAGCGCATGACGCCCGTACCGGCGCGGTGTGATTAACACATATCGCGCGGGGCCGAGCGTGTTGCTGAAACAAAGAGAGTTTTACCGGATCCGGGGATTTCGCCCACCGGTTTTGCATGGTCCGAAGATATCCGCGCGCGGGCGAGCTCGGTGGACGCGCGAAATATCAAAATAACGCGGGCATTGTACGAAATGCCATGAGAAGACACGCACACGCTTCATTGTGATGAGTATTAACGGTGGCTTTATTAAACGGCAATGGGGAGTTGCAAATAAGTACCTAGGCGCATTAATCACGTCACGATTGTAATTGCTAAACAGAATTGTGATTGGTTCGTACACATCCATGACGAAACAGTTATGCTTCTTTGTACGAAAACTATTCACGATCCAAAGCGTACACAAACAACACACACACACACACACACACACACACACAGCGTCAAACTTATATAGATTAGGTATAATTGACATAAATTTATCCACAGGCGATTACGCAGTTATCCGGAATACTGCGCTCCATTTTACGTTCATAGTATGATGACACGATAACGGATGATGAAACTTGCCTCCTAATTTCTCAGAGTGACATATATAAACGACAAAACTTTAGCTTTCCTTTTGTTTATGGATTGTTTTAAGAAACTTCAATGTTCACTGATAAGTTTCACTCTATTATTCAGCGTAGGAAAAAAACGTAATGACAATGTAATTGAACCGAACGGATGAGCAT